CAGCACTCTCACTATGACTACCGAGTATACCAACCGTTCGTCTACCAGAGATTCTCCCGTACCACAAGGGGGACAAAGAGACCAAGAAGGCCACTATGTTGGTTCTTCAAGTGCCGTATCCTTTCTTATTCGCATCCAGAGGCGTCTTCATCAAAGCTCTTCACTCTCCCATGACTCGACAATATTTACATTTGGAGATGCTCCGCTGCCAGAATTTGACCAATCTCTGTTCTTCCTCCCACCAAAGTCTGACGCACAAAGGCTCGTAGAAAGGTATTTTGACTATGCTGCGCCCACCCACCGGTTTCTGCATCGACCAAGTATCGAGAAGTTGCTAGATGAGTTTTACGATACACTCGGCGAGATAAGAGGTAGAGAAGATGGTAAGGCAAAGGCGGCGCTCCTAATGGTAGTCTTTGCACAAGCACAAGCCTATATGCCTCCAGGTAGTACTGTACAAGAGAATAGGTGAGATTCGATTTAGTTCTGATTTTGGTGCCAAACTAATGAGACGTAGTGCCCGCTATTTCTTTGCATCTGAACACCAGCTATCGAAAGAACGCGGTGCTGTCAGACTGGCAAGCGTACAAGCACGGCTATTACAGTGCTTCTACCTTTTAACACAGTCACGGATAAACCACTGCTGGAGTCTTTTCGGTACGCTCTCACATTTGATGCTTGCCATCGGCTTGAATCGCGGTAGGAGATGCGATCCTACAACCAGCGACTATGTGGAACTTGAAAGTCGAAGACGAGTCTTTTGGTGCGCGTACTCTCTTGATAAGTACCTCGCCGCGGCTCTCGGTCGCCCGCGGACTTTCAAAGACGAAGACATCGACCAGGTAGGCATTGTTCTCGTTGGGGATATTCTGCTTTGCTGATCTTGGTATCAAGGAACTTCCGACCATTGTGAATGACAACGATCTTCTTCAGTCGTATATTAGGCCGACCCCTCTACACGCCCATTCCATCATGACTGCGCCAGTCGAGCACATCAAGCTAACTCGAATCGTATCTCTTGTTCTCCGAGACCTCTATTCCATTAGGCCTCCAAGCCTAGGTAGGCGCATTGAACTTTCAGCAAAATACACAGCAGATCTGCATGCATGGCGTAATTCGCTATCTGGATTTCTAGCGGGCTCCAGTCCACAAGGAGGCATCGAAAGCCAATCATTAATCCCAATATTCCAACGCCAGCGCTCAGTACTGAACCTAGCATATCACCATGCAATCCTACTCATCCATCGCCCCTTCCTACTAAGGGATTTTGCAAGCCTAACACATATGCCCACGCACCCCAACTGGGGCACCAATCCAAACAAAACGTATGACACAACTCCTAACATAACTGCGTGCCTCGAAGCCGCCATGGCGATTACCCGCGTCGTAAACGACGTTTTCAGGTCATCCAATCTCTTCCGCTCCTTCTGGTTCACGCAATATTATGCCTTCTGTGCTGTTGTCGTCTTGTACATCCACCGAATCCAACAGGGTCTCGGCGTCAAAAACAACGTCCAAAGCGAAGGCTACTACGAAAAGGGTGTTGCATGCCAGAAACAGCTGGAAACGGTACGAGATACGGATTGTCTTGCGCGCAGATACTGTCTCGTGCTAGAGGAACTGAGAGTCGAGGCTGAACGGCAGTCGACAAGGCTGTTGAGCCCAGTGGAAGCGGCGGGTGTGCAGGCTGCAGATGAGGTATGTTTTCAAGAAAACTTAATATCCAACGCTTTTTCTTTGTCAGTGATGGAACAAACATTACTAACTTCATTTAGGTCCCCTCGTCAACTACAAACCTCGACACTGAGCGTCCCACTCTACTTCCCCAGCCCCTGCCCCAGCCCGACGCCGCCGCGAACCAATCTTCTATACCGGGTCTCCAGGATACTCTGTACAATCCTCCCGTATTCGGGCCTGATTTGTTCGACTGGTCGGATCTGGCTAGTTGGGGCCAGTTTGAAGGTCTTGTCACTGCGGGAAACGGTATGTATGATCCAAGTATGTTGGGAGATGAGGGCGAGTTTCAGTTTGATTTTAATACTGGGGGGTAAAATTCGAGCTTGCATTTTTCTTGTCTTTTGAGATTTGCGTTTCGAAGAAAAAAATTGAGGGTACGATCTCGTGTGGATACTTTGTTGGGGGAAAATGTAATGTTTTTGCTTCAATGAGAAGTGGAAAAGCGTAAGTTGATCAAAAATGATTTTGTTAACTACTCATAATACATTGTTTTACAAAAAAACACGCCAAGGGTATCTATCTACACACGATGTTTGAAACAGGTCAAAGTTTCCACGAGCAAGAATCCGTTTTCCATCACCCCTACCACCGTACTCCATCTATTCCTCAAAACCTTCTCCACCCTTTCCATCCGAAATCTTCACCTTCCGAATCTTACCCCGTCCTCTAGATCCACCAGGCGCTTCCTGATCCGATTCCAACCCAACATAGTACACCAATCTCGGCGCTCCCTTTCCAAGAGTAACAACGCTCTCGCCCTCATCCTTCACTACATGTTTGCGCAACCTCATCTCCCTCTCTTTCCTATTCGCCTCAGCCAACGGACCGTATGCCGGCACCACTTTCCTAAAGAACTTAGCAGCATCCGAATTACTGGTTCGCAGTTCTCTAATTCTAGTTGCTAAATCCGGGCCAGAAAGGAGGTTGGGATTTTCTTTGCGCAGGCGGAGGATTTCGGGGGCGCCCTTGAGGGGCTCACCGGCTTTGATGGCGGCGTGGAGAGCAAATTGGAGGTCGGATTCGTAGGATTCTGCAGAGTCCATCATTTCGTGGATCGTGACCCAGTTGCGGAAGCGGAGGTCGTCTAGCGGTATGCCGGTTGGGCTTAGGGCTGCACGGATGGGGGAGCCGTCTGCGGGCGGCGGGGGCGGGGGCTGGTGGGGGTCGGTTGTAAAGTTGTCGTAAACTTGTCGTAGGTCTTCTTCGGTGCCGAGAGAGGGGTACCCGGGGTCAATGTGCATATAGAAGGGGGTTGTGCGGAGATCGAGTGGTTGACCGGACATTACGGCTGCTTCGATGTTGCTCATTTGGGTTTTGAGGAGTGAAAGTTCGGCTTGCAGCTGCTCAAGAGTCATGGATTGTTTTGAGTCTAGGCTAGTAGATGGGACTTCTGATAGATCGATTTGCTGGATGATGACACGCTCGATTTTCTCTGTAATAGCATGTGGAAGCTTCAACAACTGGCCGCGGAAGTAGTCTGCATGGTCGGCTCTTCGGCAGGCCTTGGTGAAGGTAATCCAGTCTTCAAAGGGTATTATTACACTGTTCCTTTCCGCAGTTGAGACGATTTTCTGCCAATATTCTTCGATCAAATCTTTGTTCTTAAGTAGGCCAGCAGTTGTGACGACGCTGCGAGTCCCTATTGCCCCAAGTTCAAGACCGGCTGCTTGAACGTCTTCCAGGGTAGTGGTGAGTAGGTTTGGTACGCGTAGCTTTCCAGATATTGAAATGAGAGCCTCAAACGGCTGTATTTGAGGAGGCATGCCAGCCTGAATAAGGTTTGATACAATCTCGTGGGCGGTTACTACTAAGATGTTGCGCATTTCTGCTGCTTCTCCAACATAATCCTCGCCAGCCATAGGTTCAGGCAGTATTAGTTCAAAAGAGCGGAGAAACGAGCTGACGTGGATACTTTGAAGCTGTCCACCAGCCTCGAGATATCCATATATAGCGTTTGCAATGGCCCGGAGGAGCATCACGCTATCAGTCATGGAACGAGACGCACCCATAGCAGCGCGCAGTTTTGTGAGGAGAGCAGTAACGTGGGTCGGTCTCAGGCATATGCCAGCACGACAAGCTAGCATGAATGCTGTGTACGCTTCGTTGACAGGCCTCTCAGTCATGAATAGCTCAAAATAGCGCGGAGGGGTCTGGGTGGGGTAAATGCGCAGTGCAGTGTCCAGGGCCAGGTATGCTCTTTTCCAGTCACGAGCCAGTATTCGTGCAGTTAGGATGCCTTGCAGCAGAATAGTGGGAATGCCGGCAATGGTAGTGAGTTGAGTCCTGTCGGGAACGACTGCGTCTGGTGACAGATGGTACTCTGCGAATGTACCAGGGAAGCGCTTCAGTCCATCAGCGTACAGTTCCTCCAAGTCTGGCAGTCTCATGATACTGCCATATGCCATGAGCTCAATAGCAGCACCGTAAGCGGCCTGCGACACATAGCGCTCGTCTTGCTGGACTAGCCATTGCCAGAGTGTGTACCCCTCATCCCAGCGCGCGCAGTCCTTATATATGCCGAAAAGGTGGACGAAGGCATAATGATGCGGCTGAAGAATACCTCTTCGAATGTCGCCAACCACTTGTTGAACGAAGGGAAAGAGATCGGATCGTTTGCTGGGAACATATTCGTTCCGTATGCGCACGTGCAGGGCTTGTGTAATGCGGCGGGTGTCATAGCTGTCGAGAAGATTTGCTGCAACAAGTGCCGGATAGAGTTCCATGATCAACTCGACATTGCGGGCTTCACATGCATTCCGAAATTGGTTGACTAGGCGGGCAGTCTAAATAAAATCGTCAATATGTGTCTCGGTCCAAGAAGTCGGTACGATTCACCTTTGCTTCAGCTTCGGTGGACGGTGGGCTCCTAGGCATTCGCTTTCCTTTTTCGGTTGTAACTTTTCGTGGAGTGCTTTTGGCTTGTTTCGCCGTCGCATACGCCGCCCTCTGAAGGCGGACAAAGCGTGGGCATGGTGAGGTTGTTGCGACGGCGGCGGCAGGGATTGCGGTGCGCAGGAGACGAGGCGCAAGGAATGGCGCATATGGGCAGATGAGAGACGCCAGCGACGTTCTCGATATTTTTTGCATGTCGGTTGAGTGGCAGTAGGACAATGACGCGGACAGTGAATGTCGACGATGCGCCCGCCGACATGTCAAAAGTTCAGACTGCACGCTAAGCCCAGGGCCCACGACCTCCGTGATTGGCCGCTTCTCCGCAAGCAGACACCTATCTTACCAAAACCCCCCATCCACCAGCTACTACTTGTCCCCATTACCGCCCGACACGACCAAACACACAGATACCTCTCCCACCATGTCGCGCCCTCTCTCCCTCTTCAGCGTCCAGGCGATTCTGGTGCTCGCAATCGACGATGGCTCCCGCATCTTGACAAAGTACTACTCCAACCCGCACCCACCGACCGGTCAACAGAGCGACTACCCCGGCCAGATTGCATACAAGACGGTCAAGGACCAGAAGGCTTTTGAGAAGGGACTTCTTGGTGTGTAGTAACTGCGAGGCCAATGCTGCACCCATGTTGGTCTGACACCTATTACAGAGAAGACAGCGAAGCAGACGACCGACATTATACTATACGACCAGAAAGTCATTGTGTTCAAGATGGAGTCGGATGTAATGCTGTATGTAGTGGGAAGCGCCGATGAGAACGAGGTTCTGCTCTACAGGTACTGTCATGTCGAACGAGCGTGTAGGCGACTGGTCCAGTGCTAATTCCGATCAGCGTCGTCCTCGCCCTGAGAGACTCGCTCAACATCCTCCTCAAGTATGTTAGCCACATGAAGGACTGGAATTGGGCAACGGGCTAACACGTGGCAGGAACTCGGTTGACAAACGCACTGTTATCGAAAACTACGACCTTGTGGTATGCATCCCCTTGCTTGCATGTCGCATTCCTCCATTGGCTGACCATATTAGTCTCTCGCTATCGATGAATTGGTAGACGACGGCATCATCCTCGAGACCGACCCCGTCATTGTCGCCTCGCGCGTCAGCAAGCCTCCGGCGCAAGACATGACATCGATGAAGAACATTGACCTTTCAGAACAAGGTTTCTTGAATGCATGGGAGTTTGGCAAGAGGCAGCTTGCGGAGAGGATACGGCAGGGTCTATGAGCTTCTTTGGTTTGGGCATGGCGTTGCTGGAGTTGAGGATACAGTTGCCGCTTTGCGAATGCTATGAATCGTGACGTGCTGCATGATAGAGTGGGTAGCGCATTACGCCAGAAAAAAAAAGGCCTAATCAAGACCGTATTCTGCTTCCACTGACGCCATCGGCAGGCCGCTGTGATCCAAGTGTATGTACTGGTGTCGAGGAATCCCTTGGTAAGCGTTAGGCCAGGAACAAAGGTCCGTTTTGCATGACCCTTGCAATCGCGCTACTTGATCACCTTCGTCATCGCCGCATCCCACCATCAGTCCCCAAACCCCACTAACCACAGACTCTGCACACGACGCACAACCATGAAGCAGAGATTCTCCAGCTTGGACGTCAAGGTGCGCCGTTGCGATTTATACCGCAAACATCATTTACTAATTGACTCACAAGGTCATAGCCCATGAGCTTTCCGCCAAACTTACTTCTCTCAGAGTCACCAATGTTTACGATCTGAGCTCCGTATGTACTGCGCATGTCGCAACCTGTGCAATGCATATGCGCTTACTCACACATGCTTAGAGAATCTTTCTCATCAAGTTTCACAAACCGGACCACCGCGAACAGCTGCTCATCGACTCGGGCTTCCGCTGCCACCTCACGGAATATGCCCGCACTACGGCTGCTGCCCCTTCGGGCTTCGTCGCAAAACTGCGCAAGTACCTCAAGACAAGACGTGTCACATCAATTTCCCAAATAGGCACCGATCGTATTCTGGAGTTCCAGTTCTCCGACGGACTATACCGGCTCTACTTAGAGTTCTACGCCGGCGGAAACATCATCCTAACTGACGCCGACCTCAACGTGCTGTCGCTTCTGCGAAACGTGGACGAGGGCGAGGAACACGAGAAACTTAGAGTTGGCTTAAAGTACAATCTTACCTTGCGACAAAATTATGGAGGCGCCCCAGAGCTCACCAAAGAGAGAGTGCGTCAAGCACTACAGAAAGCGGTCGACAAACAACAGGATCAGCCGGTCCCAGTGGGAAAGAAGGCGAAGAAAGCAGGAAAGGATTCTCTAAGAAAAGCGCTCGCTGTCTCCATCACAGAATGCCCTCCTTTACTGGTCGATCATGCGCTTCATGTTGCCAGCTTTGATTCGTCCTTGAAACCAGAAGAGGTTCTTGCTGGTGATGGGCTCGTGGAAAAGCTAGTTGATGTGCTACAAGACGCAAGAAAAATTACAGATGAGATTACAAAGACCGACCGGATCAAAGGCTATATTCTCGCAAAACCCAATCCCTCGGCCTCAAAGCCCGACGACGAGTCTTCCGATAAACCACGTTTTCTCTATGATGACTTCCATCCTTTCCGACCACAGCAGTTTGAGAACACCGACTATACTTTCCTGGAGTTTGACGGTTTCAACAAGGCGGTAGATGAGTTCTTTTCGTCAATAGAAGGGCAGAAACTTGAGTCGAAACTTACAGAACGCGAACAACAGGCTAAGAAGAAGCTAGAGAAAGCGCGCAAAGAACATGAAGATCGCATCGGTGGACTACAGCAAGTGCAAGAATTGAACTTCCGCAAAGCAGAAGCAATTCTAGCAAATGTTCATCGCGTGACCGAAGCCACTGAAGCTGTAAACGGGTTGATCAGGCAGGGCATGGATTGGGTCGATATTGAACGCTTGATTGAACGCGAACAAAACTCCGGCAATGCCGTAGCGCAGTTGATTAGATTACCCCTCAAGTTGCATGAGAATACGATCACCCTACTTCTCAACGAGACAAATTGGGAAGAAGGCGGGGAAGAGGAAGACGAGGGCAATGAGACGAGCTCTGTGAGTGAGGATACTGACGACGAGGATGATCGCCCTAGAAAGACTTCTCCACCAAAACCAGTGGCACGACCACAACTAGCTATCGACATTGATCTCGGTTTAAGCGCCTGGGCCAACTCTACCGAGTATTTCGACCAAAAGAAGACGGCTGCCGACAAAGAAGGTCGTACCCTTCAAGCATCCACAAAAGCGCTCAAAAGCCACGAGAAAAAGGTAGCTGAAGATCTAAAGAAGGGACTGAAGCAAGAGAAGGAAGTGCTGCGGCCAGTGCGCAAACAGCATTGGTTCGAAAAGTTCATCTACTTCATCTCATCAGACGGCTACCTGGTTCTTGGAGGCAAGGATGCACAGCAGAATGAGATCATATACCGTCGTTTTCTGCGAAAGGGAGATGTATACGTGCATGCAGATCTTAAAGGAGCCATGCCTATGATCATCAAGAACAAACCAGACACACCGGATGCTCCTATTCCACCATCGACCTTGTCACAAGCCGGAAACCTCAGTATATGTACATCTGACGCATGGGACTCGAAGGCGGTCATGTCGGCATGGTGGGTCCGTAGTGATCAAGTCAGCAAAACTGGACAGACGGGCGAATTCCTCCCTGCCGGCATGTTCAATATCAAGGGAAAGAAAGAGTTCTTACCACCAGCTCAACTTGTGGTTGGGCTTGCAGTCATGTTTGAAATCAGTGATTCAAGCAAGGCCAACCATCACAAGCATCGGGTGCAGGAGACTGCAGTTTCCGCTGCCGAAATGACTGATCAGCCAGGGAACGAATCCAAAGAAGCAGCAGCTACGAAGACTGATGAGAGCAATGATGACGAGTTCCCGGATGCAAAGTTTGATTCCGACTCTGAAGACGATTTCCCAGATGCGAAGATGGAACATACTGAAGAGAGTGATGCCGAGTCCGAAGCTGCAGCTCCAAGGAGTAATCCTCTTCAGTCTTCCACAAGGAATGCTAAAGAAGACTCTGGCGAGGAGGATGAGCTTGTGGTTGGTAAAGGGGATGCTGAGCATGCGAAACCTGGGGAAAAGAATGGAGTTGTTGCGAAGAAAGAGCCACCTGAAGATGAAGGCTCAATAGCTGACACTGAGCCGATATCGAAGTCTACGGGACGCGGAAAACTATCTGCGAGAGAGCGCCGCCTCGCGAGGAAGGGCCAGCTTCCAGAGTTGCCTCAAGTGCCGTCTGATACAGTGCCTGCAGTTGATGGGGCTGATCAAGATGAAGGAGATTCCGCAGAAGGTGGTAGCGCTAAGGCGCCTACAAAGGTGGATGGAACTGTTACATCGCAGATGAACAAGCAAAAGAATGCCCCCCTCCCACGTGGAAAACGTGCAAAGGCGAAAAAGCAGGCAGCGAAATATGCAGCACAAGACGAGGAAGATCGTGAATTGGCCATGCGGCTTTTAGGTTCCAAGACTGGCCAGCAAGCTGCAGAAGCCGCAGCACAGGAGAAGCGTCAAAAGGAAGAGCAAGCACAGGCCGACAAGCAACGCCGGCGCGAACAACATCTTCGTGCTCAAGCTGCGGGTAAAGCTGCCGAGGAGGCCCGTCTCCGTGCACTCGAAAATGCCGAAGACGATGACGAAGGCGACGAAGTCCTAAAAACAAACCTGCAGAATCTTGATGCATTCACTGGCCGCCCGCTACCAAACGACGAGCTGATCTCCGCAATCCCAGTCTGTGCTCCTTGGTCCGCTCTCTCGACTTACAAATACAAGGCCAAAATGCAGCCTGGTTCCACCAAGCGCGGCAAAGCTGTTAAAGAGGTGCTGGCCATCTGGGATAATGCGGGTAAAGATACCAAGATTGTTGATAAGAATAGTCAGGATGTCGAGCGCATCTGGCCCAAGGAGATTGATCTGATTCGTGGGTGGAAGGAGACAGAGGTTGTGGGTGTGGTGCCTGTCAGTAAAGTGCGAGTGATGATTGCGGGAGGGAGGCGAGGCGCGGAGATTGCAAAGGGGAAGAAGAAGAGTGCGAGGGGTGGTAGGGGATCTAAGAAGAAGTGAGCTTGGTTATTTAGGAAATAAAATACCAGAGCGGTTCTTCTTTGCATTGTGAAATTGTGGAAGGATGGAATCCTAGAGACGAAGTGGTATGTATCATCTGACATCTTTATGGTACGAATTGAAAGTAACTAGTTTCTACTCAACGAACAAAGTGATGTTGGCAAACGAGAATCCAAAAATAGTCATACTTTGATCGACACAAACCGCCTCTGATCATTTCCTTTTCTTCATCTCACCACCATGATAGACGGCACATTAAACCAGGCTAGCCCTGAACAAAACCAACGCCCTCTAATTAAGCTTCCGTGTTTATCTTCAATTAAGCTACAATCTAGATCCCCTCCCGCCCTTCCCCACGTGGCTGACTATATTCATCGTTGTGTTATAGGGAAGGGGTACATCCTTGTACATACCCGTGTGTAGGGCGTTTCGGGATACCGAGTAGTTTCGGTGATGTGCATATGTCACATACGCTGGAGAATTCACAGCTTACTTTGCTGGAAGGTTTTTGGCACGTGGTTTTAATAAAGGGTGGTTAAGTTCGGGGGTCTGGGGCCTTACGTGCGTATGCTTGCGGGGAAAAGGGAGCGGACTGGAATAGTATGACTTCTATGATTGGAGATTGCGTCATCGAGACGCCGGGACGAGTTTTGGATTGCGTGTGTTTCTCTAGGATTGACCTTGCTAGGGGGCAGCGTTTGAGGTGGTGGGCTCTTTCTTCTTTTTTAGATAAGACTTTTTTTTCCTCCGTGCTTTGGAGGGTCTCGCATCAACGTGCTTTGTTACGTTGACGGATCTGGGGATCAATTAGCCAGACTCTTGGGATCATCAAGAACTCCGATGACTACTGTTTTAGTTCGACTTGTGCGAGGTGCTCATTGGAAGGACCGGTTACAGCGTTGTATGGTTCTGGTTCCGGCCAACGCTAGATAATAGTGATTAGCAGTATATGGCTTCTTAGTCGAGGCATTGCCCAGTACACACGAGCTGTATGCTCACCCCTTTCACAATCATGCACACATGTAGTACGCCGTAGGACTTGTGGGATCCACGAGGCCACGAATGGGTTGCATAGCCAAGGGAGAATTGAGCATGAGTGGAGACGAGCATCTTATGCCTAAAAAAAGCTACAGGAGTAAGCTGAACCCCTGCGAACATCAAGTAAGCAGGGCATAAACTTCTGGCTTATTGCGTGTGCAACTCTGGTGTTGCAAGAGGGCCTCTGGATGCAGCGACTCCTGTAACCAAGACCTTGCTCGGATGGAGTATCCATGGTACAACAGATGATACGACAGCAAT